ACACACACACACAAACACACACACAAACACACACACAAACACACACACACACACACACACACACACACACGGGGAAGTGAAAAGTGGTCGTTTGTTCATGTGACTGTGTTATTCGGGGTGCCCACTACAGCTGGATCGGGCCGATCGCCCTACTCGATCGCCTGAAACTGAAAACAAACACTTTTTTTTTGGAGGCGATCGAGTCAGGCGATCGTTCCGATCGGCCGATCCCGTCCGTTGTGGGCACCCCGCACAAGTCAGGTGGCTGTTGAAGCAGGTTTGACTGTGCACACACATTATTAATGCAGGAGAAACATGCAAAGAAAAGGAGGAGAGATAAAACAAATAGATGTCTGATAGACACAAACAGCAAACCACACCAGAGCACACGCCGACACCGACATGCAAACATACGTAACCATCATAGCGTTTCTTAATTTTGTTGGAATTATAGCCTATACTTCTTATCACAGAATATACAAAGAACAGAAAATAAAAAACAAAATCGAATCGGAGACAGGCTCACAACAACAACAACAACAGCAACAACAACAACAACAACAACAACAACAACAACAACAACAACAACAACAACAACGACCCCCCCCCCAAAAAAACACAAAAAAACAAAAAGCAAAAACAAAACAAAACAAAGCAAAAAACCCCCAAAAAACAAAAAACAACACCTAAAAAACAACAACAAAAAAAACCCAGCTACCGGGGAGAATCCATTTTTCTTCAAACGCAACTTCTCCTTTCGACTTTCGACTTTCGAGTGAGCAGTGTGAGTGGAAGAGTGGCGAAGAAAAACTCCCTTGTGATCTGACCCTGCCTCAACCCACACGAATCAAGTTATCTCTATCGCCCTTCTCTCCACCACACCCTCGCCACCTGCCACTCTCAGTTTTCTCTCCCTTGGAGTTCGAGTCGAAAGGATGCGAGCTGAGCATCCAAATGGTTCAACAAGTCGTTCATCGATTATCGGACGTATTCGAGTCAGAGAGCCAACAGTTCGAGTACAAATTAAGCTTTGTCTGTGACTAATCGATGGAAGATAAAGCATGGATTTGCTCTTGGGACTATTTTGTTGGCATCGATTCATAGCATGATCTGATTTGACGATTGGAAACGACAGACGCAGCAAACAGAGTTATCTCCCCTCTGCAATTTGGGGGAATTTTAGGTTTACAGTTGGACGAAAACACAAGCATTGTTGATAAGTTTCCACCCCTGCTCTGGCGTAGACACAGAATGTGTGGTCAGAAAACACAATTTGTGAGGCAGCGTGGTGGAATCAGGCTCTCGTCAATTTTTGGGCCCGTAGAGTTATAGGTATTATCCTATCCTATGGCTTGTTCACTTGTCTTTATTTGGATGAAAAAAATATTCATTTATCTTGAATACAAGTCGAGATATTTGCGAATGAAGGAGGTGGGTTACCTGTTTTCAGCGGTAAAATTAGTGAGAAAATGGCACCAAACAGTTATTTCCTTAGCTTAAGAGTCGGTGGTAACAAAAAATTTACATTTTTTGTGCTTTTAATCAACGCTTTTCAGAAAATTCCAAACAGAAATTAATTCTTTAATGGGCATGAAAGGTGTTGAGCCAAAAAACAAAAATTTCATAAAAATTCACAAACCTGAAGAAAATTGCAAGTTTCTTCACTTTGATAATTTTGACGAGAGCCTGATTCCACCACGCTGCCTTACAATTGTTTTTTGGGCGTAGATAGCTATACATTTGGCTGCTCAGTACAAAGGAAATAAGGACGAACAAAGGGGGATGGAAACTTTGAAAGGATCGAGGATTTTGTCACAACATTCAGATCTTGTGTACAACGCCTGGAATTTGCTCAAAATTTTCCTTTCATAGTTTAATTTTTTTTTCTTCTCAGCTCTTTGTCTTTGCTTGTGCTTAGCTTCGATTAGAGCTACACCTGTGATAATCCTTACTGTATGTACTGTGGCGTCGGTGGCCTAGTGGTTAGGCTCTCGGACTCGCAGCCGTAAGGTCGTGGGTTCGAATCCCGTCAAGGGCCTGACGTTGTGTCCTTGGGAAAGGCACTTTACACGAATTTTCCTCACTTCACCC